ATATCCTCTGGACATAATTTCTTCTAGGTGTTAGCACATGAACACTATTTTCAAAGATGACCTAGGTAATATTTGTAATTTTGTTTTATTGTACTAAGTTATCTTATGGATTTGAGGTAACTGATGGAGTAGAAAACCTTCAGGCTTTCCTTTGAGGATTGTCCCTAAGGAAATCTCTTTGTGAGATCATCTTTTGAGCCTGGAAAATTTACCCTAAGTGGGGAGTTTTCCTTTATAGGGTTCACAACATGTTGAATGAACAGATGCATGAAAAAATGAATAGGCTGTTCTCCTTATTCAAAATTTCTAGCTCTTGCTTCACTCACATAAGATCATTTTATTATTTACAAACTTAGGGCATACAGATCTGCGGGTGGAGTTTCTGAAGTTGTCAGAGGTTTGGATTTGTAGTTAGAACCAGGTTCAAAGCTGGCTCCACTTCATTGTGGCTCTCAGAACCCCCAGTGTCCCCATGTCTCTGCATGTGGTTAGCTCTGTTCTTGGGCTTTCCCTTGGCTCTTCCCCCCGATGCAGTTGACAGCTCTTCTCGTGTGATGGACAGACTAGAGCAGTGAGTCATGCATCCTTGGGCCTGAAGTGAGCTTCACAGTGATGCCAAGCTGGGAATGGCAGTTGTTGGAAGCATTAGAAAATACTTAAAAAAAAAAAAAATTGAAATGGGGCCAGGGTAGGGAATAGGTCAGTGGTAGAGCTCCTGCTTAGCATGCATGAGGTCCTGGGTTCAATCCCCCGTACCTCCACTAAAAAAAGAAATCTCGGGAGTGGGAAGGGATAAATTGGGAGTTTGAGATCTGGGGATACTAACTAATATATATAAAAGAGATAAACAAGTTTTTTCTGTATAGCATGGGGAACTATATTCAGTGTCTTGTAGCAACCTATAATAAAAAAGAATATGAAAATGAATATATGTAGAACTGAAACATGCTGTACACCAGAAATTGACATAACATTGTAAACTGACTATACTTCAATAAAAAAAAATTATGCTACTGATCTAAAAAAAATCTCAAATTAAAACAGCTCCCTGGTTAGCTTAGAACTAGGCACAAACCTGGCAATATCTCCAATAGAAAGTTCTGTGGTAATATTAACACAGTTTAAAGCACTTTTTTTTGCCTTGTTGTTTACCTGAATTAATGTCTCCATTGCCAATCAAGCCTTGATTGCCTTTTATTCATTAGCCTTTGATTTAATTAGTAAGACTTGTAGAGGAATCTTCAATGTTTTCTTGTAAACAGCTCTAATTTATTGATTCGATTTGAATTTTGTAATTATTCTAAAGAGCTTAAATCAATGTTTGAAGTATGTGTTTTGAATATTTAATAAAATAGTTTAAACCACAGAAGATAATTCTTAGATACAATATTCATTTTGTTTTTCATAGAATAATAGGTATCTTCTTTTAATATCTTTAAAAATGACATTTTGTTCGTATTAGTAACTTAGAATTTCAAATGTTTCAGTCCATATTAAAGTTTTTAAAAAGTATACACCAAAAGTAGAGCATTAGAAAATTTATAACATTACTTTTTCAAAAGCTGCCTTTTCCAAAAGTGGAGCCAGTGACTTAACGTTTTTTTCTCAACTTTAGAACAGAGAGCTTCAGTAGTTGGTGAGTGTCTAGACATGAAGAGAAAAACTATTTAAGAAAATAGAGAGCCACAATGACTCTTAGGTTAAAGAGCAATTTGATAATCAATATGGTTCTTAATGGGAAACCAATAAAGCAGTTGGAGAAGAGGGAGATACTGATTAGTGATCTGGGCTTGGATTATTAAAGATAGTGAGGGATTTTAAACATGTCTGTTGGGTGAGAAAGGTTAATTAACAAAGCACTCTATAAATTCTAAAACTTCAAGGAAATGAAAACTTTACCTGCATGCATCACTGAAAACAAACAGACCGTACCTTTCATTTGAAAAAAGAAAATAAATATTTAAACTAAATATGAAAGAAGATAATGAAATATTTTTATATTTGATAGTTCTGAAATTCTTGAAAGTAATCATTTTTATACTTTATTCTTGAGTTATCTTACAGGTATTGGGAAAGAAATATCAGTATATTAACATTATTAATATTCATTTGGTAAAATATTTTGACGGTCTGCTCTGTACCAGACCTTTTTAGGCTTTGGACACGTAATAGTTAACAAAACAGAAGATTTCTTTGCTCCTGAAGCCAATAGTCGAGTATAAATTTTAAGGTATTTCTTAGTTTCACATAATATAATACGTAAATCTCAATGTCTTTAACTGCTATGATTATCATAACTATAAGAAATTAATACCTAGAGGTTTAATTCACAGGGAATTATGCTTCAGAATCAGAATTCCATTATCCTGAGGCTTATTCTTTTATGCAGTTTGTCATAGTAAATATGTTCAGTTTTTTTTCACTACAAAAATTATGCACATTAGTCTATGAGATTGCTTAAATGTGTTCCTTCTCTAGCTGCATTTAAAGTGTGAGGGCTGGTTCAGTTTAAGGCTCGTCTCCTTTCGGTGTATTACAGGGGACTCACAGCTTCGTGGTCTGAGAGTGTGTTTTAAGCATCTAACCTTCCAACAACATGAATTCCCTATATTCCAGAATTCAGTCCTGGTATATGCAAGTTAACGACCTCAAGGGAAATGGAAAAGCCTTGTGGGAAGAAGGTTGTGTGTGTGTTTTTTTATGGATGAGGGGAGAAGATGTGTAAATGAAGGGAAAATTCCAAGCAGTTCCTGGAATCAGTTCCTGCCTCCTCAGGGAGCCAGTGATGAGCTCAACTGGGCTGCGAGAATCTGTGCAGATGTCAGCGCTGCCTGCATCCCAGCCTCAAGCCCCGCCAGAGGCGTCCCTTAGTCGTAAAGGACAAAGTGAAGAGCACAAGGTTCAGTCTCCAGTTGAACCCCATGTGCATGTTAATTGTTTTGCTTGCACCTGGGTACCTAGAACATAATTAGGGTTAGAAAAAAATTGAGGTGATGTACTCAGGAGAGGAGAGTTGCAGAGCAGGAAAGCAGCAGGCTGTCCTCCCAGCTGAAACACAAGGGAAAAGAAACACAACTCCTAACCTTGAGAGGATGGTACCTTGTGAACCTTGTAATCAGATGTCTTTTGATTACTGTAACCAGTAATGTATTTAACAATCAGTTCTACGAGGAGTACCCCTAGCATGGTTGCGCTGTGATAAATTCCTTGACCTTTCAAATTTTGTGTCCATGGCAGTTTATGTGATCAAAAACAGACAAATTGGATGCAGTTCCTAAAAAAGACATTCAGATTATTTATTTCAGACTCCGGCACTGGATTCTCCAGGCCACGTGAATTCTCCTTTGCTGGTTCCATAACCTCTAAAGATTTTTGGGTGCAATTTAAATTGTAAAGAGAAACCATTTTTCATCTATCAGATTGGCAAAATCAGTGGTGGATAATATAGTGTATACAGATAAAGGGGGACCAGGAGTTCCTGTTTGCTGAAGGTAGCATAAATTGGCACAGCCTGTATGTGGGATGATTTCTCAGTGTTCATCAGAATTAGAATTTAGAAATTCACATATGTTTTCATCTTGCAATTCTGCTTTTAAGAATTTGTCTTATGGACCTGTTTTTATGTGAATGAAATTATGTCCAGGAATATTTATTGCATCATTGTTTAAGTAGCAGAAAATTGGGAATATGCTAAATGCTTATCAGTAAAGTTTTGGGGTTAAAATTAATATAAAATACATTCATACAATATTTCTACAGTCTTTCAGTAGCAAGAGACAATTTT